TTGTATACGTTTCCGGCTTGTTGCACGCATTGTAACTTGTGTCAATCTGTTCCGGCCGCGTCTCTGGGACCACCTGTACCCTTTTGTTTTGTCGCTTTGCCGACCTCGCCGCTATTACGCTCAACCCCTGCGGCACCGAAACTTGCAGGTTTTTGCCGTGATAAACCGTGGCCGCTTGAGTTCCAGTCGAGATCACCTCTGACAGTTCTCTCATTGTGATCTCGCTTTCCATGGCTGATGTCGGTCTCATCACAGCTTCCTGCGCCTCCTTAATTTCGATAGTCTGTGCCGCGTTGCTGCTGTAGCGTCTGCCCACTTGAATCTCCGTGTTAATCGCGGGCATCACTGCTTGGAATTTCTTATTAACCATCTCGCTCTTGGACTCGACTGCATCAGTGAGAGATGACTTTTCAGAGGCTATGATGGAACACTGCAGCCAACTCTGCATTTTCGAGTGCATAGATTTTTGTCCGGCCTGTGTTCGGTTCGACTCAGCTGCGAACTCTGTGAGGTGTTCACGGCTTACCAGTGTACTGACCTGTGTGCCAGCCTTATGAATTTCTGCACGAGGTCGACCATCATCGAGGAGCGGGGCTTGAACCACGTTTGCCCCCTCAGGACTGATTTGGGCAGTCGGGTTTGCATCTAGAGTTCGAAGCATTGCATTGTCCACCTGGCTGCCGAATTCTCTGCTGCGTTTGGTTGTGTTGGCCTGACCTAAGCGGCTGTCTTCCCGGGGTGTTCTTTGACATGGACATACATCCTGTTGGCTGTGATACCCAATCTGTGTAATTGTGTCCATTTTACTGAGAGCGCTTCGCGTTCTGCGATAATCGCTGTCTTTCAGGGTGCCTGGACTTTTTTGCCGACCCCGAGGCGGATCCTTTGCCGTGCCGGGCTGACTGCGACTTCGGAAGCGTCCCAGTGGAGACTGCAGAGTTTCAGCTAGTTCTGGATAGTATTCCGTGTGATGCTTCGTCTTCGAGGCCCTGATGTACTCCATTCGCATTTCCTGGACGGGCGAAGCTCTTCTCCACTGACCCAGTTCGTCTATGATATCTTTCAGCTGAGTTTGACTCTTCTCCATTAGGAACCTAAAACGTGGATGAAGAATTAACCCATATTTGTTTGCAAAGATTTCTCTACACATTTTTATGCCCCAAAACATTATGCGCTGGGATGGCTTCCCCAAACAGTCTAGTGCCTATCCACATCTCTCGTTAAGGGTTGGGTCCTGTTTATACGTTCAACAAGAAATTCAGCTCTGGGGAGGGGGAGGGGGTAGACCACATTGCCTGAGTGCTGCTTAGGAAGCTGATGGACCGTGAAGTTCCACCAAACAATACATCCTCAAATCGATTTAAACATGTCATGCGAACTCAATTGCCTCAGGCGCAAGCGTGAAATATTTTTGCTGTGCAAGGAAGCATTAACAGTGGATCCAAGACTACCAATTTCAGGCAGCTGACGTGGTCACTGACTCTTAAGTTGATACGCCTGTCTATTGGTACTTTCCATATAGAGCCAATGTTGCGAAGATACTAAAGTGTTAACAGGACACCGTTGTTGCCCCAAGCTGCGGTCGTGTTATAACTAAGCCCGCATTCATCGCGTATATTTATACTTTATTTGATGACCACTTAGTTATCCTGTTTTTTAGTACAGTCCCTCCGAACACTGTGTATTCTTACGCCCTGTGAGGCTAAAAATACTGTTTGGATGCAATCTTAACTGTGTGGGATTGAGTAGCAAGCTCATTGCGTTTATTGTAATCCTATTGGCCGGAGACCTATTACTCAAACAGTCCCTCTCCTTATTGTTAGTGCTTGCTGATGCATTTGAACTCCTGAAGGTCAGAAGAATACAAATAATATTCAGCGATCTGCTCTCCAATATCTATGCAAGACGCCCATTGGGAATATGACACCTCTTCGAAGAATAGATAGGCATGGTATTTGGGAGAGTAAGTGTATCACAACAGTAAGACTCACTCTAGCAGTTCAATGCTATTGTAAACCTGTTCTCTCTCATTATCCACTTCACTCAGATATCCTGCAATGCGCTCGTCAATGGTTCTCAATTCCGCTTCCATTTTACCGACGCCTTCGAGATGGTCCTGTAGACGTAACAGAGGTGCCCGCATTCGGACAAGATCCGCTTCTTGTAGAACGAGTCCTGAGGTAGGGATCCGTTCCCCTGCTGTTAATTAAAACAACTTACTTGAATCATACTTTCAACGCTACCGCAATTAAATAAGAGCTTTAATGAACATGACTTGAATTACTGCACTTCTGAAACTGACATACCATCTTTCACGATTACTTTTCTTTGAAACTTGTCAACGGCAGCTTGGAGTCGCCCGTCATTTAGACCAGAGTTTGGTAGAAGGATCCTCATATCTGGCAGAAGCTCGTTCAGAACATCATAATTGAAACAATAGAGATGCTGAAAAGGGACGAAAAACAAAAAACTATATCTAACAGATCAGGTGTAAGTAAACAGAGAAAAAAACTGACGCAAACAAATTACAGATTACCTCCTCTGAAGCCAGTTGTGTCATGATCACTGTGAAGTTATCGTACAAAAGTTGTCGGTCACGCTCCAGAAGATCAAGCCAAACAGCTCTACACTTCTCTTTGATTCTAAGGTTAATAGACAGGGCGTCAGCATGTGAATACGTCTCAGTGGTCATATCATTAAGTCAAAAAAGAGTGCACTTCGTGGGACTTACGCAATGGCTCGGTTTGTGGCTTCACTGTCATTTCCGGTCAACCAGAAGCAGACAGAGGGTACTTCAGCAATGCCAGTGGAGGTCTGCACCCTCCAGAGCCGCATGTCTTCTCGATTGTCTATCAGGCGAAGATGCTCACCCTGCTGAATGCTGTAGTTGGGGCCAACGAGGCCCGTCAAAGCCCTCACCATAACTGGTCGTTCGGTCTCGGTGTCTACAACCATGCCTTTGGCCACTCCACCGAGGCGGAGACGCATTGGCACAATGTGGCTACTGCGTTCGACCAGAGTCTTACTTCTGTCCCACAGACTGCGCATGACGTCAAGTTGTTCCTGTGGAAGAAAGTAAAACCATAGTGAGTAAAGGCTATTCCCGTAAACGATAAGGATAGTTGGACTAACTCCAACTAACTTTCATACACATAGCTACCTACTGTAGTTGTTTTAGTAGATCTTGTCTTGTTTCTTATCTTTCGTGTCTTCTTTGTACTCACAACACAAAGCATACCCTAAGGACTGTCAGCTGTGTTCTATTGCACCAGTGCCGTCTTGACTATGGGGAGGACAGCTCTGAGGTATGCTTTGTTTTTAACGAGGGGTTAAGGCATTTATGGACTACGCGCTATTGTACCACTTGTAATGCTTAGTCATCATGCATAATGCTTAGGGTTAGTAGATAGAGTTGCTTCTTGTGATTTAATAAGAATGACCTAAATATTATATCATTGAATAATTTAATCAGTTGGTATTTAGTTCTGTAATTATTAAATAATTAAATCCTTAATTTATTCATTAGTAATAGCCATATTCGACTGCTTACAGTTCTTTTTTAATTGGGCGCTTAGTAGTTGCTAGTGCTTTGCTAGAAATTTTTAGACACGATTGTTGTGACGCAGGGTCTTTCACTGTGCGCGCGGCTTCGTAAGCTAAACAACGATTTAAAGGTGCGCTAGAATTTTCCAAAACACAAGGGTTCTATCCTTCCCGATCCATGCTTCCTATATACGCCTATGCTTAATTTTACCTTCACATATTCATACTATTTACCATTTTTCCCATCCGTAAAAACCTCCTTTTATCACCACTCCTGTTTTACAGGCGCCTGTATGTATCGGTTCGACGCTGAGGTTCCACATCCTATCGTTACCCCGCAAACACCGGACAACGAAGCGAAGCATTTCATTCTGGGCAGTAGGTCAACAGAGACTGCATGACCGTTACGCCACTAGCGGCTTCCTTTTAATCCAGTATTTCGTCCGAGAGATCTTGCCTTGAAAGCTACAAGAAGCTGAAATTTCCGTTTCACTTTCGGCCGCCCTCATCAGTGCAGCCATAAACGATCCTCCTGACCGTGGACGCACCTGGGCAGAGCAGGTGAGCCGTGTCCCTGTTAGCCGTCCTTTTTAGTGAGAATCCTTGACTCGTGTTTTTTCTTGTCGTTAATTAATTGCCTACAAGGCTTTTGGAGAACAATTCCCATGCTAAAAGTATTATTCTCTCTTGCTCTGCCCTCATTCAGGATGCTTCATTTGGCGAGAGACTTCTCAAACCTCGATATTCTCACTGTGGGCCGGCGCAAGCACAATGAGTGTCTAAGCACGAAGGTTATTTTCATCTTCAGAGAGGGTGGAGAGTGTAGAACCTTCAACGGCACTCTCCGTCTGATTTGGCAAACTGTGAAATTACTGGTCCTCTCCTCCCTCCCTCCCTTCATGGACATTCTCACAATTTTCGCTTTTAGTTTAAATTCCCCTGCGTAAGCTTGCACTGTCCTCGTTTCCTCTACCCCTCACTTGGTATTCAACCCCGTTTTTTATTTGTTCTCTCGAAGGGGAAGGTAATTATCCGTAAATCGGCGCTCAAGGTCAGTTGGCAAGGTCAAGCGGAATGCTGCTATGCCGCCAGATCTTCTGGTTCTACAGCTGTTACAAACAAAGTGGCTCAGTTCTTTCGAAACAACTTCTACTAATCTACGTACAGCACTTGCATTTCGCCAAACTGATGAGCATTCATCTAGGGCTATTTTCAGAAGCTACCTGAACACAGAGTTCGAAGCTAAATGATGCGCAAGGCATACTATCAGCTGGCAATACAACACTTCGGAAAACGATTCCACTGTCTGCGAGGGGACATGCTAAAATCCTGTCTCACAGGCAAAGCGATTGTTCAAAGAAGGATAATAACTACATGAGGTTAAGTATGTTACCCTTATTTCGTTGGCTAGTTTTGAGGTCTCCTTGTACATCTGTCGTCCGGGGTTCAACACAGAGCGATTATCAGCGATGATTATCTGTCTCTCCATCTTCGACTCAAGCTCATTAGCTTCGTGGAAGAACTGGAGAAATCAAAAAAATTTAAATTTAGACGCAGCTCTCCAACTGGAGGGTTAATCTGATTTAGGACGAAGCGGCTCGCCTACATCCTGCAACACATAATTGCCTGTCAGAGATTTAAAATTGCGTTAGAATTTGCAAAAAACATTAGAGGTTTATTTGTCCCTCAAGTTTCCTTTTGGAAGCCTAGAAATTTGCAAAGAATGGTATGTTGTCCAGACGTTTAGAATGCCTATTATGGTTGCATCTCCGTTGAGTTTTGCTAATTTGCGGAGGAAGTTCTATTACGGATGTCCGAGAATGTGTCGGGGTACGTCTACCAGACAAGGTATCTCAGGGTGTAGTTGGTGATATATTCCAAGGCGTAATGAATAGAAACTAGTAGTATAAAGACCTTTGACTAAATGAGCCCCTGTGCCCTCTGACGGAAAAAAGGCAATGGAGTTTCACACTTATCTTGGCCCCAGACATGGCCATCATCCTGGGAGGCAGGTTTTATGGCATTACCCGTTGTTAAAGTTCGC